TGGGTGCACATGCGCAGCTCCATTTGCGCAAACGGTGGCCATGCATGCCCGCTGCTTGCACAAATGGAGTTGCATACATGAGCATTCGCCCACTGCTTCTGTGGCCCAGGACCAAACTGGCCGGGGCCCGGTAGTGGGCTGCGGACTGGAGGTTGGGGATCCCGGACTCAAATCCCCTTTCCCTAAAATTGGAAAATGGACAGAGATGTTATGGAACATCTCTAGTGTGCTGGAAGTAGCATTTCATGCCTATAGTCGATCTTTGCACTCTTGTCAGAATCTAAAGAAGATAGAACTATAGGGCTGGAGGGGTCCTTTGAGGTCTTCTAGTCCAACCCCCTGCTCAAGGCAGGAGATCTTATTCTATTCTGGCAAATGGTGGTTGTCTGGTTCATTTTTGAAAAGTTCCCTCTTGCCGCAGGCTTAAAAACGTATCTACACGTACACATCGAAACATAAATAAATTAAAACTGAACATTAAAATCGAAGGACACGTGGTGAGGGTGGGGTCAGAGTGGGGGGAAGTGGGACCTGTTGTTACCCCCACCACTGAGCAGTTCCCCCACTGGAGCCCGAAGCCACTGACAGAATAACATCTTCAACGCCCTTATGAAAGGATGGGGGAAGGTTGGGCCAGTGGTGGGATTCAAATTTTGTTACTACTGGTTCTGTGGGCGTGGCTTGATGGGTATGCTGTGGCTTGGTGGGCGTGGCAGGGGAAGGATACTTCAAAATCCCCCTTCCCTCCCCACCCCACCAACCTGCTTTCCAGCTCTGTTCTCCTGTGCTGGGCAACCAAAGAAGACCCAGCCGATGAGCTGGGACCTCCATGGGAGGCAGAGAAGAGATGGGGTTGGCGGGGCCAGTCGGAGGCGATATTTGCTGGTTCTCCAAACTACTCAAAATTTCCACTACTGGCTCTCCAGAACTGGTCAGAAGCAGCTGAATACCATCTCTGGTTTGGGCCAACTCACATCGGGATCCAAGATATTCCAGAGGGCAGGAGTAACAGCAGAGAAGGCCGTCCTCCTGGATCCCACTTGCCGGAATAATTGGATTGATGCGACCCGTAACGTGCCTCCCCTGCCATGGGACGGGCCTATCCCACAGCAGTCAGATGAAGAGGACAAGGCAGGCAAAGAGAGGGAAGGTCTGGCTATACGTACAGCATGTCTGGGCAGTTGTCCGGCTTCTCCAGGAGGCCTCCTTCCATCACAAAACGTAGAACTTGTTCATTGGACATGCCTTGGTAAGGCTGCTCCGCTAAGGTGGCGATTTCCCACAAAACAACGCCGAAAGACCTACAAGGAAATGGTTAAGACATGTTAGAGACACCCTTCAGCTAACCTTTCTCTGGAGGAACTCAAAAAGGTAAAAGGTGTAGAGATGCAGGATAAGGAATGGCTGAAGCTGGGGGGGGAGGAGTGAAAAGAGGCATCAGTCTAGCATCCCTACATCGCCACAAGCAAACCAAGTCCAGCCCGCTTTGAGTGCTGTTGATCTTTATCTAACACTAACTGGGTCAGTTGAGAAGATAGCAATAAATCAGCTTAACTGGACCTCCTCAGGTGGGCCTGGTCTTACACTGATAAAAAAACTTACAGAAACACTTGGGTATTGGGGACAGGGGCACACAATTCCTGCAATGACAACATCACACAAACTTGTGTAGTTGCATCCCAACAGCTACGTCATCTGCATACGTTCTCGTTTTGTTGACAGTGTGGCACCATCATGGTTTGTTAACAGGCATGTGGACTGTGCTATAAAAGTGTTGTGTAACACAGCTAGGGAATAATACTGCAATTATAAGTATCAATTACTGGGTAACACTGGATAAAAAGTTAGGCACAAACTGAATCAATAATAATAACTCCTACTCTTTTTATGCACTCTAAAAAAAAACCCCAACTCATAGGGCCTGATCTGGTGAAATTTAATGTGGAGTCAATTGTACAAACTACACTTTGGATAAAGTAATAAATTGATTTGTTGCAAACAGGCCTGGAAGCTTTTATCTCCTTGTCTTTGTGAGGCTGCCACGCTGAATCGGATTCAGTTGTAAATATTTCAACTCAACCAATGTAATCCCCACATTTGGCTTTGAATGGGACACTTAAAACATGCATTAAGAATATTCAGTTGATTTTTTTATTTTATATATTAACTCCGTGACCAGAAGAAAACCCAGATATAATATAAACCAGTAAGCAGAGTGCAGAAGACAGAAATAACGGGCCAAATTCAAAATACCTGATGATCTAAACTTGATTTGGAGAACTCAATCATTTTACCCAAACCATCGTTCAAATACAGCCTCTTGGAGTGACAACTGCATGGAAGTTAGCAATTTTTGATGAAAAATCTTACTAGGAGAAAGCCCACTGCCCCTCCCCCTCCATAAAATTTGCATATGCACCAAGCATATTCCTTAATCACATAATCACACTTGGCCAATAAAGAATTCTACCTATCTATCTGTTTAATTATATTGGATTATACGAAAGAAGTTTAAAATATCAATGTTCCCTGCAACTTTAACTTGCTGCTTTGGTTACAGAATGCATTCTGGATCTACATAACTATTAAAATTGCTACTAAAGTAGTAGGTACTAGTACTGCTACTCCTAAAAGTACTATTAAAATTATTGTTGTCATAACCATTAAACACGGTATCATAGGGAAACCGTTTTTAAATCAAGGCATCTTAAATGGGCTAACATGTAGAATGTGTCAAAAATTCAGGACCCAGAACTCCCAAGGGATCAAAATTTGGAGAGGTTGTAGTTGCGTCAGTGTTGCCAGTTGCTGCTGCACTCATGAGACCTTAATTTTCAATGTTCTGTGACAATTTCCCAGCCAGTCTTGCAATCCCTTACTCCCTGCCCAGCCCAGCAGCAGCGATTTAGCTGCCTGCTGGGAAGGGAGAAGAGGGAAGGGAAGGGAAGGGAAGGGAGATTTGTGATGCTCTTTGCTACAGTCTCACAACGGGGAAGCTAGCAGAAGTTAGAAGCTGCTCCTGCGCCCAATGCTCTGTTGCCTGCTCATGGTCAAATCACGTCACTTTTTAATTATATTTACTTGATTTCCATAGCCACCCATTTCAGCAAACGACTTTGGGCTGCTCACAATTCAGAATATATATTACAATTAAAATCTTTATTAACACACTCCAAAGCGATGGAGACAGTAAAAAGAAAGAAATCTGAAGTTACCAAGAGCAACTAATTCAGTGTTTCTCACCTTAGGCAATTCCAAGATACGGGGGGCTTCAACCCCCAGAATTCCCCAGTGAGCATGGTGGCTGGGGAATTCTGGGAGTTGAAGGCCACACAACTTAGAGAAAGACCAACCTCATGGCTGGCTCTTTCAGAAGACATGATATTTAGATGCCTGGAGTCCCATTTGAACAAAAGAAAGCCTCGGTGACAGGAAGAATCTAAGGAAGATTTATAGGGAAAAAAACATGGCCAGAAGTTAATAACCCTATTAATTTATTCATGCCACATAACCCAAAGGGGTTTTTATATTCCAAATTGTACATATCTGCGGTGTTCAAAATATTCATTAAAACAACGTTATCCAAAGGGAGGCCGTTATCTGCTGCATGTATGAATTCTCCACAACTCCTGAAATGTTGGAATTAATTATGGAAATCTTGATAGTAACTAGAATGTTCATTTACTCTGGGATCTGGATCCAAATGAGCTCCCATCCACCATCTTACGTCTGCCGTGTTTATTTTTATTCCGTCAGCGGAATCTAAAATTAAAAAAAAACCAGGCAGCTCCACTCCAAAGTTAGCTTTTTCAGAAAGCTAGACTGCAAGAGAGCAAACGGCTTTCCCCATCCCAAGAATTTTTTGCAGCGGGCAGCCAAATTCTGCAGCGGATTTCCCAAAATATACAAATCTATATGTAGCGGCCAGGCCTGCCAAGCCTGGAGATCTAACAAGCTTCGTTGGGGCTGTGGGAAAATAGCACAGAAAAACAATGACACCAGTTTTCAACTCTTACAACTTGGAAGCTATCACATGAGGGAATTCACTCTCAGTTTACATTTTTAAATTTTTTTAACATACAATAAATCCATTCCATTTCAATCGTGTGTCGATTAGGTACTTATTTCATGTGCTTAACAATTACTAATAATATTCTTCTTAACAGTATAACCATATAATAATCATCACATTCCCACATATATATGTTGTGGTTTGCCGGCAGCAGGTGTGGACGGCTGAGGTCTCGGAGAGCGAGGACTCGGATGAGGGGTCGGATGCGTGTGATGCAGGGATGGGGCCAGGACCGTCAGGGAATGGAATGCGGCCTTCGGAGATTGTGGAGGCTGGTACCAATGATGAAGAGCGCCCCGAGGAGCCTGTGCCCAGCGTGCGTGCGCGCAGGGCTGCTCGAAGGAAAGAACAGCTGCAGCAGCACGGGTGACTCTGGAGTAGGACTGCAAGGGGATGGCCCCTTCCATAAGGGATAAAAGCCAGCCCTCAGAGGTGGGATTCTTTGCAGGAAGCAAAGAAATCCTTTCAAATTCAAGTTCTTGTGGAAGTCCTGTCTATCCTGGTTTGTTTTCGGAGACTTTGGGTTTTGGATATTTCCCTGCAATTAATTCTTGTATTCTTGGCAGCCTTTTGCAACCTTGAAAGGGCCTGCTTTTATCTGGGACAATTAGTTTTAATGAATGAATGGACTTCACAGAGACGCATTAAAAAGGTTTGCTTTTATATATACTTTGTGTTTATTTGATTTGAACGAGGCTTGGGTCAGAACAATATAAGTAATATTCAGTATATCTATTACACTAATTTCTCTTATCGCTTTATAATTAGGGGGAATTCCCTCTCAAGTGGATTCCAAAACAGGTAGCTCTCGAATTACAAATTTAGTGGCTTGTTCGAAGTTAAGATGGCACTGAAAAAAAGTGACTTATGACCATTTTCCACGTTTAACGACCATTGCAGCATCCCCATGGTCACCTGATCAAAATTCAAACCCTTGGCAACTGCCATGGACTTATGACTGTTGCATTGTCCCGGGGTCATGTGATCAAAATTAAGACGCTTAGCAAATGGCTCCTATAGATGACGGTTGCAGTGTCCCATAGGAGGGGGTGTCACGTGATCCCCTTTTGCGCCCTTCTGACAAGCAACATTCAACGGGGAAGCCGGATTCACTAAGAAACCAGGTTACTCACTTAACAACTGCACTGTTTCGCCGGGGGCAAGAAAGGTCATAAAATGGAACAAAACTCCCTTAACAGCAGAAATTTTGGGCACAATTATGGTCGTAAGCTGAGGACTACCAGTATCTGGTCTTTCCTGTTACATCTACTATAAGGGACTAGGAAGAAGTTTTGACCAGGTGTGGGATTCAATTTTTAACAACTGGTTCTGTGGCCTTGGCTTGGGTGGTGGGCGTGGCTTGGTGGTCATGTGACTGGGTGGACATGGCTTGGTGGTCATGTTATTGCCTGGGTGTGGCCAACTCAATATCACTCACATCGAGGCACGCATCTCCTTGTGTCACGCCCCTGGTGAAGTCTGACTCTGAGGAAGAGGAGGAACAGCCAACAGGGAGTGGGAGTGTGGCTCCAGAGGTGGTGGAGGAGGCTGGGGAAGGGCAGAGGCCGTCTGAGCAGTCAGAGGAGGATCTAGGCCCATCCCCTCTCCATCCTAGGTCACGCAGGGAGGAGGCGATCAGGGAAAAGCGAGGTCTACTCAAGAGGAGATTACCATGATCCTCCTCGTGGCTTGTAGGTGGAAGCTATGTATATATGTTTGCAACTGCGCAGTTAGAATTGCTGAAGTCAATTAGTGTTTAGCTTGAAAGAGGTTTATCTTTGCTGGGATTCTTCCCATGGACTTTTCTCGGTTATTTTCCTGGAGTTTATAATTAGTTATCTCGGCTTGCTTCGGAACTCTCGTCAATGCGGTTTTGTTTTGGTTTTCTGTTTGCCTCATTATTTACTTTTGTGACTTTAAACTGTGCCTAATAAAACAGTGAAGTTAAGTTGAAGGCTTTACCAGACTTTAATATATGTTTTGGGTTTGGGGTTATTTTGAGAGACTATGGGTCATCACACCTGGGCTGGCCTCTCATGACTGTGGGGATGCTGCAACAGTCGTAAGTGGGAAAAATGGTCATAAGTCACTTTTTTTCAGTGCCATTGTAACTTTGAATGGTCCCTCCATACAAGCAAAGTACCAGCAAAGGAGGGGAAAAAAACTCCAGAGACGTTCCTGAGACGGGAAGTCTAGTCCTGCTAAGAATGTAATAAGGGTTAACAGAGAGGCAGTTTCTGTAAGCAACACCAGAATGTTTCCTTCCTGCCTTCCTGACAGGATTAGGCCAGTAATTTCTTCTAACAACCTGTTCTCTGAACTACTTTGGATGTTAACAACCGGTTCTAGCGAATAGGGGCGAACTGGTAGAATCCCACCCCTGGTCTTGACTAATCAGAGAAATCGGTCAGTTTTATAACCAAACAGTTTGAACTGGGGGGTGGGGGGTTAAGCATGACCAGGGACGCAGTGTCTCAGTGGCTAAGACGTGGAGCTTGTCGATCAGAAAGGTTGGCAGTTCAGTGGTTCGAATCCCTAGCGCTGTGTAACGGAGTGAGCTCCCGTTACTGGCCCCAGCTTCTGCCAACCTAGCAGTTCAAAAACACGTAAAAAAAAGGCAAGTAGAAAAACAGGGACCACTTTGGTGGGAAAGTAACAGCGTTCAGTGTGCCTTCGGTGTTTAGTCATGCTGACCACATGACCATGGAGACGTCTTCGGACAGCGCTGGCTCTTTGGCTTTGTAATGGAGATGAGCACCGTCCCCTAGAGCCGGAAACAACTAGCAGGTATGTGCGAGGGGAACCTTTATCTTTACCTCAAGCATGAAACAAAGGTTCCCTAAGGAAATAGAACTCCCGCCGAGATGTCTACAGCTTTCACAGCAGACTATCTTCAAAGCCACAGCTATCTAAACCAGGCAACTTTAAAGACTTGTGGATTTCAATTCCCAGAATTCCCATGGCTGCCTGGGGAATTCTGGGAGTTGAAGCCCACCAGTCTAAAAGTTGCCAAGTTTGAAGACCTCTGATCGAAACCTAAGAAGGTACGAAACAACCAAGCTCCAGGGACCGGCAAAGAGCCATCCAAGAATGCTTTTATAAATTATTTTATTACCAAACATCCGAGTGGGTCGTGAAGACGCCATCCTTCAGCGATTCTGGAGACATCCAGCGCACCGGCAGTAGTCCCTTTCCACCTTTCCGGTAGTAATCAGTCTCGTAGATATCCCTCGTCATGCCGAAATCTACAGAGCACACAAGAGACACGTATGTGCTCAGCAAATCGCAGTTCAAGCAGAAATCAAAATAACAGCCAAGCCAAGATTAGCCAGCAGACTTCAGTTGTGTAGCTCTATTAGCACACACTTTTATTTCTGTTTTATAACACCCCTGGGATGCACTAAAACACTTCAGTTTATCTGTAAACATATAGATCACTACGCTTCCTATCAATCTCAGCCTTATTTGTTATTTTAAAGATAGCGAGTTGTTGTTGTTGTTTTTAAAAAATCATGCTGGGCTACAAAACCAAATGAAATCCTCGGTGCTCTCAGAGTCTGATTGTTGGCTTGCAGACCTTTCATGACCTGACTAGGTAACATCATCAATGTGAGAAACGGTAGTGTTTGCTTCTTGTTTATATACAGTAGCTTTCCCCATGAGTGTTGGTGGGAATGTAATTTTTCTCTTTGGTAGTTCCTAGATTTGGCTATTGTTTTCTGCTTGATTATTTGTCTGGTGTGAATCCCTGCTTATCTGGGAGTTAATTGCTGGGAAAGATATATTCTGATCTTTTTGCTTGCAAAATCAAGTATCAGTCTCTAATGTCACCTTTATTACAAGAATCCCTCTTGGTCTTCTATGGTGTCAGTACTTCAAGGTAGGCCAGGGGACAAAACAGCCTTCTAAAGGTCTATTGGAAGTCTACTTTTGTCATCCCCTAAGCCAGTGGTAGCTAACCTTTTTGGGCTCCTGTGCCAAAAATTGCCCAGAAGGCAATGCGCGCGGGTCCTCCCACGCCCCCTGCGCATACGCGCACGATCCCTCTGCCGCCCCCTTACCTGCACTGTGCATGTACATGCCTCCCAGCTGATTTTCGGCTGTTTGAGGCCTTTTTTGGCCTCTCAGAGGCTCGAAGGAAGCCTCTGCAGCCTTTGGAGGCCGAAAAACGGGCCCATTTCATCACTTCCTGTATTTCCGGAAATACCGGAAGTGACAAAACAGGCCTGTTTTTCGGCCTCCAAAGACTGCAGAGGCTTCCCTCGAGCCTCTGGGAGGCCGAAAATCAGCTGGGAGGCATGCGCATGAGCAGTGCAGGTAAGTTTGGCTGCAGCTCGCATGCCCACACAAATGGCTCTGCATGGCACCTGTGGCACGTGTGCCATAGGTTCGCCATCACGGCCCTAAACTATTGCAAGAAAACATGATAATGTCCCTTTAACTTGCTCCCTCGGCCTATGTAATATGGAGAGAAATATCTCACTGTAGATCTAAGATGGGCTTTCTGTAGCTCCCCTTGTACTCTCCTTTTCAAGGTCCATCTACCTCTATATATGGGCTGCAAAATGATTTCCAAAAACACTTAAAAGTTGGTGGCAATACCCCAGTGTTTTGACTGGAACAGGTTAAAAACTAATGGAAGGACTCTGGAGGACTTCTCGTCCAATGCCTTGCTCAGATAAGAAACACTGTACCATTTCAGACAAATGGTTGTCCTATGAACATGAAGCCTGTATCAAGAACTCAATATTTTACACACACACACACACACGCACCAAACTTGGAAATTCCTACCCTATCCATTTCTTGGAGGTGTCACCAAGTCTTGCTTGTACATTTTCAGCCTGTTGTGTCTACAACAATACTAAACCGTTCCTTTTTCCAAGCAGTAGTGAAGTCCTACCTCCGATTTTCACAGTGAAGTCCTCTGCCACCATGCAGTTCCTGGCAGCCAGGTCTCTGTGGACAAACTTGTTGGCGTTGAGATAAGCCATGCCATCTGCAATCTCCCCAGCCATCTGAATCATTTTCTTTAAAGGCGGAGGATTCTGAATGGGGTTGTTCTAAGGAAGAAATGGAGATCGCCACCAGGTCAATAAAGTTCTTTCCTTATTCTAACCTCGAGACTTGGGTCATTTTCAGTGTCACGGCTGGCCACTCGTTTCATTGGCTGCCCGACGGGACTAATTACCCTC